GGGGGGGGGGGCTCTCACAGGGGGTTTGGGGGGGGGGCTCTCACAGTGTCAGATGCACGGCTGGTGTGACGGCCAGATCCCTGCTCACCTGGGGTGGAGACAGGCTGTCTGGTGAAGAACACGTTGAAGGCAGGCTCTTCACTGACGGGCGACGGGTAGGACCGTCTGCGGATGAAGAAGCCGGCTCCACAGCAGAAGAGCACCCCCATCATCAGCAGCAGCCTGATGGGGAGGGACGCAGGTTAGGAGACCTGGCGGGTGCAGGATGCATGCCCTGCCCTGACACAGAGCTCTGCTGTGGTGCTGCTGACTCACTCCCCAACCCACCTGTTACACCATATCAAACATTGTCAACATTTCCCACATGCTGCAATAAAATTGCAATTCTTTACTGTCACAGATTGTCTTCATGGTAGGAGATGCTCACAACATAACCTCAGTAACTTACAGCACCTTCTAATCAACTACCTTCCACACAGAGCGGCCGCTAGCACCCGGGATCATTTTGACCTTATAGTACAGTAAGGACACTTTGTCTCATTATTTTTGTAGTTCTGCAATGTATGCAGAGGAATACAAAGGGGCAGGGCCACAGGGGACTCACCCTAGCTGAAAGCTGATTGGCCCCCTTCCCTATCACTCACTATTTTGAAACATATCATTGGCTAATGATAAGATTGGCCCCTCTGCATGAATTATGGCCCGTCAGATGCCCCCTGCCAAACCTGAAAAGATCCTAGAATTGCCCCTAGATTGTAAAAGGCGACTGACTTTCATGTGACATCATGTACTCACGTCAGGTTTTGTTTACAGATGATCTTCGGTTGACCCAGTGGTGTCCTGGGAATTAAAGCACATTGGCTATTCTGTCAGTGAGCTGTAGTCTGTGGCTCAAGCTTGTCAGGGTCAGACCCTGCGACACCCTTCGAGACACATGAGGCTACATGGCAGATGATTAAATATGCCGGCATCTGCTCTGTGAGTCCAGGTTTTCAATCAACAGTCTGTTACGTGCTGTTTAACGTGCTTACAAGAAACCAAGAAATCGAATAAATGAAAAACTAAAAAAAAATAAAAATTCACATTCCTATATAAGTACAAACTTACAGAGTACTTCATATCAGAATTCTGCTGGTTGACCTATCACATCAATAGATATAGTCTGACAACTTTAATAAGTGATAATTTATTCCATTAAATATGAATTGGATCACAGTGGTGAAAGCTTTAGATAAAGCTGCCCAAATATCCAAAACTGCAATATAATTTGAAAGGCTGTGCAATAATAATCCTTGCTGTGACCCTAATCTCATGGACTTGCCTTTTCATATATCCCAATGTGGTTATAAAGCCAACCGCCATGCCTATTAACATAATAGTGTAGCTCACTTTCTGGAGACACGTGTGCTAACAGCACAGCGGCTGCCTGCAGTCCAAACCCATGTCTTTATCTTTGTGTTTAAAAGCAGAATAAAGTGAATTTCAGGTCCTAAGCTGTAGGTTTGGTAAGGACTTTGGCTCTTCTGGATGACGAGCAGAGGCACAGGACATGGAGATGAGGGTCCTCAGGGGGGTACCCAATGTTGGGGGGGGTACCCAAGCAACAAATTAAACTATTTTGCTCTCTGAGTTAAGCTAATGAAGTCGCAAAAAATGGACCATCGCTTCTTCTAATGTATACAGCGAACTTTACACTCCTAATTATTAACAAAAACATGAGCACAATGGTGTGTGGCTCATGGGGTTAAGTGACTGTGCCCATGATCATAAGGTTGCTGATTGAAATCCGATGGCTAATAGGGGATGATCAGATGGTTGTGGGTTCAAATCCCATGGCTAGTAGGGGATGATCAGAAGGTTGCTGGTTCAAAATCACATAGTAGGGGCTGATCAGAAGGTTGCTGGTTCAAATCCCATGGCTAGTAGGACATGATCAGAAGGTTGCTGGTTCAAATCTCATAGTTAGTAGGGAGTTGTTATTGTTCGGCCCAAGGCTATAGTGGAATTAAAATTTGGCTCTGGACTTTGGGGTTCCCCATGCCAGATTTTGCTGAGTGTGCCAACTCACATACCCATCGTCCCACTGGGAAGGTGCCCAGTAGGCCAGATGGCCAGTGCAGCCCTGGTTGGGCCCTGGAGCAATGTCCTGATCCCCTCGTTGCTGCAGGGACTGGCTGAACCTGCTATCTAAAAGGTATTAGATAATTAAAACATAATGAGTAGATGGGCTTCCCCTGACACACCCATGCCCTCCATGTGTTTCATGTGTTACTCATAAGATCTCCTCTAGACCATAAATACCTCATTAAACTTTGCTCATAAGGACTAGACAGAGAACTATGAAACTTTTTTCCACTCTCTACTGCCATGTTCTTAAGTTTATATTATCACTCCTAGATGGAAAATGTAGACATCCCCTAAAGGGCCAGTGAACCCCCTAATGTCTATAACCAGCTCTACCAGATTAGAAAAGCATTATCATCACGGCTAGCTGAATCTCCCGGCCCACGGTATACATATAGGCCCCTACTCTCAGCAATGTTCCTGCTGCAGAAGTTGAGGGCCATGGCTGAGTGCCTACACTAATAGTGTTTCTGCTATTACGTGATGTTACGCGAAGTTCAGAGGCCTTTCCTTCCACCTCGTTCCCATCTTACAGATCCTGCACTTATTTTCGCAGAGGTTTCAAGGTGTCTTTGGGTCTCCCTGGCAGGGAGTGCTCTCCCTGTCATTGGAAAAGCCAGGCAATTTCTCCCAGTCGCTGATCTTTGGGATGAGCCAGAGACTGTTGTTACTCTTATCCCCCAGTTGTTCCTGGCTCAGTATTCAGCTGTGCACCATAGCTGGCCGGCCAACGCATCCATCTGCCCGCACCAAGTGCCAAAGTATACAGACTGCTCTGCACCATGATTGTACCAGAGCCCATCAGAGGATTCAAGATTCAGGAGATTTTTATTGTCAGTCCATCAATATACAGGCATACACCTGGGATGAAATAACGTTTCCCTGAGCCCCATGGTGCTATATTTACTAAAAAAATATACTACAACATGCTAAGATTGACAGATCGTCTCATATATACTTCAGATACTACATTTACAGATTGACTAAACAATATACATCACATACTACATTTATACAATGACTAGACAGTGTACTTCACATACTACATTTACACATTATCTAGACAACATACTTTACGCACCACATTTACACAGTGAGCAAACAATGTACCTCACAAACTACATTTGTTTATTGACTAGACCAGGGCTCATCAACCTTTTTGAAACTGAGAGCTACTTCACGGGTACTGAGCCATACGAAGGGCTACCAGTTTGAAACGCCCTCCTAAACTTAAGAACATAAGAATTATACAAAACAGAGGAGGCCATTCGGCCCATCAAGCTCACGTCCCTTTGGACGAAGGGGTCTACCAGTGAGTATTACCCCGTTTTCTCCCTCCACTATCACCAGGTTCACCAGTGTAGTAATTCATCCAGTAATAGTTACCCACGCTGTAATGACTGACACATTGTGCTTCCTTGTCGCTTGTTACATCTGTAACTGGCAGAGTTGCTATTAGGCAGATTAAAAGATGCTACTGTCCAGCTGTTACTCCCAGCAACAGTTGCTTGGATTCAGAGGTAATTTGCTGATGTTTGTCACCCACGGTAAGTGAACGCCCTCTCAGAACATGCTGCCCTGCGCAATTGCTCGTCTTGCCCTTGCCAAGATGCGCCACTGCCCTGCACATTGTTTAATGAACTGAACACAGTCCCCGGACCACAGGTCTATGACATTCACAAACGTCTTTATGCTCGACAGGTACATGCACCAAGATAGAGATCTTATAAATTTTTCAGAGCGTACAAGTTGTTCTGTGGGCGTTAAATAGCTCCGTTTGTACAATCTAATAAGGGAATGTTGCCATCGAAGGTAACTCTAATCCCCGTAAAAAGCGCTGATGATTCACATGCAGTATTCTTAGAATAACTGAATTATGCGTAGGTGTGTAATTTTTTACTTCAACGATATAATCGACGTGACATAAGGAGTGGACAGTTTCTAAAAGACCATAAATTTGCCATGGTTTTCTAAAGAATATATGCTATTCTGCCTATGTCCCTGTTCCTTAAGTCAGTGTTTGTCAGATCAACCTCCAAACCCACCCTCCAGACCCCCCCATCTAGTACAGATTTATCTTCTGTTCCAGCACCTGCACACCTAGGGATGGATCAAAGGTGGGGTTAGAGGTGGCCATGGCCCCCCTAGCAAATACCTGGCCACCCGAATTGCCACCCCTCCCAAAAGAATAAGACCAAAATATGGAGCATTTCTATCTGTAAACCAGAGCTGCACAACCTCTCAATTGTGGCATTTGTGTCTTTAACTCGATAACAAGATGATTAATGGATAATGCTCATGATGGGCAAAATGCACTGAGAGATACTTTGTTATCTCTCCTGGAAGTTTTGGGAGTCGCTCTCAAATTGACAACAGCTCAGCGACACCCGTGAATGATGCGGAATGTCCCGGATATCCGTCGCTCTGCTATTCAGTCGCAATTTTACCAATGTTACCTCACCCCACCTGGTTAGCAAATTTTATTTCCACCCTCTAGCCCCAGTCAGCAAATTTTACTGTCAACACTGTGCAGTCATCAAATCTATGGTATTACCCTCATACTGGCCAAGCCTAGCCAGCATCCCCGTCCGGTTGTCCCTCATCTGTCTCCCTGAAATCAGCATGCCTTAGATGGGATGTCTGAAGACACAAATAGCATAAATGACAAAGATTAAACAATCACAGCATGGAAGATGGACACTTAGAACAGTTATACAGAATTAAAAATCTGAGTAGGAAAAAGGTAGAGAACAAGAAAAGAATTAAGATTGACTTTATTGATCCCTGGGAGTAATTCTAGAAGTTCTGAAATAGGTTATATGAGTTAGCTATGGATGAAAAATGAACCTCGGGGGACTCAGTTGTCCCCTGCGAAAAGGTGCTTTGGCACTGTGTTACTAGGCAACATCCCGTTGGTGGAGAGGACGAGATGCATTGGCATTGAGCTTCTTCCACTTCAGCCTGAACTCCTTATGGGGTAGGGGGCATCATATGCTTATGTGGGTCAGCCGTTAGCGGATAGCAGTTAGCATCCTTGGGCATGACAAAATGCATGTCATTGCAGTGTAATGCTAACTGAAAGCCCCCAGTCGTGGTCC